TTGTCATTTAGAGCATTTATTTGCAGAAAATGACAACTGGTAAAAATAACAAAAAAGATGCAGCATTGTCAGACCTCGAATAATGCAAAGAAAATAACTTCATGTTCATTTTTAAACAACACAATACTAATGTTTTAACTTAGGAAGAGTTCAGAAATCAATATTTGGTGGAATAACCCTGATTTTCAATCACAGCTTTCATGCGTCTTGGCATGCTCTCCACCAGTCTATCACATTGATGTTGGGTGACTTTATGCCACTCCTGGCGCAAAAATTCAAGCAGCACAGCTTTGTTTGATGGCTTGTGACCATCCATCTTCCTCTTGATCACATTCCAGAAGTTTTCAATGGGGTTCAGGTCTGGAGATTGGGCTGGCCATGACAGGGTCTTGATCTGGTGGTCCTCCATCCACACCTTGATTGACCTGGCTATGTGGCATGGCGCATTGTCCTGCTGGAAAAACCAATCCTCAGAGTTGGGGAACAATGTCAGAGCAAAAGGAAGCAAGTTTTCTTCCAGGACAACCTTGTATGTGGCTTGATTCAGGCGTCCTTCACAAAGACAAATCTGCCCAATTCCAGCCTTGCTGAAGCACCCCCAGATCATCACCGATCCTCCACCAAATTTCACAGTGGGTGAGAGACACTGTGGCTTGTAGGCCTCTCCAGGTCTCCGTCTAACCATTAGATGACCAGGTGTTGGGCAAAGCTGAAAATTGGACTCATCAGAGAAGATGACCTTACTCCAGTCCTCTACGGTCCAATCCTTATGGTCTTTTGCAAACCTCAGCCTGGCTCTTCTTTGCTTCTCATTGATGAAGGGCTTTTTTCTAGCTTTGCACGACTTCAGCCCTGCCCCTAGGAGCCTGTTTCGAACTGTCCTCGCCGTGCACTTCACCCCAGCTGCCGTTTGCCATTCTTTTTGTCTGCTGCTTGACCTTGTTCTTATGAACCGCCGTCTTTGAAATTTTAAGGATGGAAGCAACCTGACGCTCACTGTATCCCTCTGCCAGTAAAGCCAGAATTGAACCCTTCTTTTCCTCACTCAAAACATTCCTTTTCAACTCTTTTGGCATGGTCAATGGTTATTTTTTTGATTAATATTACTTTTGAGGTACTATTAGCACTGTTTTTGCCATCCAGCTGGTCCTATTCAAGAGGATAGTGATGACCACAGCAGTGGTTTTTATAATTTTCGTCGTTAAATAAGATTTGATTCAGGTGATCACCTAATCAGTACCTAATTCAGTAGAATGAGGTGTGCCTGTGTTGGAATTCAACAGACACTAGAATGGAATGGCTGTCATACATGTAGAGATGCTGATTTAAGAAACATTTGCAGTGGTCTCTTAATTGGAAGTGATGCAGACAATTATATTGATGGAAGTTACAATCTATCTGAAATATTAAAGCTGATCTACCCAAAAAAAAAAAAAATAATTTTTAAAAATCATCATACTTTCTAAATCTTAGCTAGCAAGCTAGACAAGCAGTCATCATCATGAATCACGTCGACAATCTACTGGCAAATCCTTTTCAATCCTTGTCATATGAAGAGAAATGATAGATAAAATGTATCGGTGCTTATCGTCCATTGGACATAAACATTACACAACAAGTTGGAAATCGCAAATTCAACAATGAGTGGTTTGGAAGGAATCAGTGGCTAACTGCAAGCGTTGCAAAGCAAAGTGGGTGTGCGGTCCAAATCTGGGTTTAAGGGTCTCTTTTCCAAGCTTAGTAGGATAAACATTCACATACAACACCATGGCCAGAAAAGGTTGAATACATTGGACAATGCAGTCAATCCAGCATGACTTCTGCCGTGTTCAAAACAACTGGAAACTCTGAACTGGGAAATCTCAGACTTCAGTGAGTTCAAGACAACTGGGAACTCTGAAAAAAACGAGCTCTGACTGGGAAAATACATTTTGAACGGTCATCCAACTGGGAATACCAAGTCGGGAACTCGGGCCTCTTTCTAGAGCTCCGACCTGAAGATCACTAACATCATGATTCAACCTTGTTTTTTTCCAAGTTCCCAGTTGTCTTGAAAGCACCATAAATCCAGAGAATGCCAGACTTTGATGACAAAGTTTGATGACAACATTTGCCCACAAGAAGGACCGCCGCGCCACCTTCCTGTTCAAGTGAGCACAGAACAACAAGGTGAGTCCAAAAATGTATTGTATGCTGCTGCATAATGCCGTAATATGCCAGGGAGATATGTATACTGTAGCTAAGAAAGTAATACTAAGTGTATGTTGTGTAGTAAGCTGTTAGTAGCCCATCTGCCTCACCTTAATCATTTGGTCCCTTTCCCCCTCTTAACTTACCCTACTGTTCTGACTTGGTGGTGCACATGTAGCCTATAGCCTGTTTTAGAGAAAGGTAATCATTGAATATTGTAAGAGCTTTCATTGTCTGCTTATATAACCCCTTTATTTATCCTACGGTTCTGACTTGGTGTACAGGGAGAATACTGTAAGAACGGCCCATGTTCTGAATTCTGTCGCAGTACATTTAAAAAGTGCTGAACAAATACTTATATTAAAATCAAATCACATTTTATTTGTCACATACACGTGTTTAGCAGATGTTATTGCGGGTGTAGCGAAATGCTTGTGCTTCTAGCTCCGACAGTGCAGTAACATCTAACAAGTAATATCTAACAATTTCACAACATATACCCAATACACACAAATCTAAGTAAGGAATGGAATTTAAGAATATATACAGTACATATATGGACAAGCAATTGACTACGTGTCACGTCTCCTCCCGTTGCTCCCCTCCGGTGCTCTGATTTGCCGGTGTACTGAGCCACCAGTCTGAGCGCACCACCTCGGCAACACCGGAATGGAAACCCAACGCACCCTAATCACCCCCAGCGCACCTGCATCTCATCACCACCCCTATATAGCCCTGGACTGTTCAGTGTTGCGTTGTGTGTGATTGTTAGTGTCGTGTCGTGTACTCGCTCTTTGTTGTTCTCTTGCTCTTTGTTGTTCTCTTGCTCAGTGTTAAGTTAACCTTTACATTGTTGATTCCTGCATCTACGGGAAGATGGTTGACACTCTCCACTAGTGCAAGAGATACTGTAGGTCCTGGTGTAGCCTACTAATGGGAATAAACTACTGGCTGCCAGTAAGTAAGTTACTGTAAAAACAACAATATTTTTTTTTACAGTGTACTGTAGTGTACTGTATTGTTGTTTAAATAATTTGAAAAGATCTTTCGGAATTATGTGACTTTTGTGTTTATTTTCGCAATTGAACTTTGAAATATTGCAATAGGCCTAGGGCTATTTTAGATGCCTCACACTGACAGCCGCAACTCGACAATCAGCTATTTCATATTTGCCCACGTGCCCTGCCCAAATTGCGGACTTCCCGACTGTAGGCTTCTGATTTACCATATGATTGCGATATAACCAATTAGATCCCAGGAACTTCCTACTGCATTATCAACCGTTCTGATTAGTCAGGAGACAATACAACCAACGAATCAAGTTCATTTATTTCATTTTTGATTTTAAAAATATATTTTAAGCCAGCCTGATTGGGTGGGCCATTATTCAATCTGGCAGGGCCTGGGCCCGGCCCTGCTGTGGCTTCACCTATGGCCTGGTTCCAGACCTGTTTGTGCTGTCAACTGTTTGGCTATACAGCCCAAAAAGATCTGGGACCAGACTATATCCTGACCTGAACAGACCAGCAAATAAACTATGACCAGGCCTGTCAACACTTCCACCTTTCAAAATTGTCAACACTGTTAACCTTTTCACGCGTGAGTTACAAATATCTCTTAACGGTCACCCCAGTCACGTAAAGGTTTCTCAGACCAAATATGTTATAACAAAACCAGGTGAAAGGATGGTTCACTCGACTGACTTACATTGTAACTATCGTTACACAGGGTTGCCAGCTCAAACCCCCTCGATACCTTCCCCCATTTCTACCCCACATGGACTTGAAATCCCCCATAAATGAAATTAACCCCCCCACAAACCTCCCTAAAATGGTTTCACCAAATCTGGCAACCCTGTTTAGCTTTCGCGCTACGGTTAGGCTAGGCAGTAGGCTTGTATGTGGGGTGATGATCTGTGAGGTGATAACATTTTATTTGCTTTGTGATTTGTCAAAAACTGTAAACGACTTGTCAAGTCATGTGCTCCGGTTCTTGTATACACTGTAACAAGTACATCAAAGATTTGTAATGTGCTGAAAAGTGGCCGAACTAAGTTCATATTTTTCGGGCAATGGCCGCTGCCATCTTTGACTTTGACTTTGTTTATTTGCATTTTATAGTGAATGGCATTCTGAGATTATGGAGTTTTCGCTTGTCAAACATAAATAAACATGGCTGCCATCATAAAGAATGTATCTGCCGTTAGCTTAGCTGACGCATCTCTTTTCTAAACCATATTACATTTCCTTGTGCTCGCCAGAGATGTGTTACATTATAAACTAAAAGTCTAGCGTGTTTAGCAATCGCAGTCTAACTTATAAGTTTTCGATTGTTGTCACCGCAACCGTGCTCATTTAGACAATTGCGTCTTATGGAATGAGGCATGGCTGTGGAGCTGTTTCCGTGGTGTGCTTGGAGTATCTTTTAACTGATTAAAAGCGTGAACAGTTAGCTGTTAGATCGCTCACTTAAGTTTGATTTGTCAGGACCTTTACTGTTTTGTCTGTGGTGGTCCGGGAATGCTAGTTCTTACATAAAAGAATTGAGCATAAAGTTGTTTAGACTGCTTTTTTCAGACAACAATGCTGTTTAGACGCGTTTGTTGCATCATCACTCAACAATGATCACAAATATGTGATCGTACGCGTCAAAGGGTTAACACACTGCCAACACACTGCCAACACACTCCCAACACCGTCAACTGTCACCAAATCGTACCCCTAATCAACAGATGACTTCCCTATTTTGATACGGTAATACGGTATTTTTACAGTATGTACGTATGTGTGTGTGTCTGTGTATTGTGTACATGTCTTTGGTTCCAACTCACCCAGCAGGTGTTTGAGGACAGCCTGGTTCTGGTCCCAGATGCTGTTAAAGGTGCTCCAGCGAGAGCGTCCGTCAGGGAGGGGGTTCTTGCGGACCCAGCCCCCGCAGGCGTACTGGTAGAAGTCCTGGCAGGGGTCGGCGCTGCGGTCCAGGGCCTCTACGATCTTACTGGCCACCGTAATACAGGCCTCGGTCAGACACAGGCTCCGCGCTGGGTCTGGTGACAAGGTAGAAAAACAGTAATGCTTTATAAAGCCTGCTGGTATAATGCTTCATGATGTGGTTATAATGCATTGTCACAAGACTTTTGTCACAAGCATGTATGACCCCATAATGTCTTAATAATCATTCATAATGATACTGCTAAACACCAGCCAGTTGAAATGTTGCTAAACAGAGAGACCATAACATATTATAAGCCTTATTATAAGACATAACACGTGTGTGTGTGTGTGCTTGCGTGTTTGTGTGTGTGTGTATTTGCATGAGTGCGTGAGTGGTGTAACCAAAGGCCTCTCACCTTTGTTGTAGCGCATGCCCAGAGTGACGGCACATCCGAACAGGGCGAGGAGGGAGGCGAGCAGCACACCAGCCAGCACCACCTCCATCTGCGTCCTCCTGCCCAGGGGACCGAGTAGCTGGATGCCGCCCTTCCGGAAGCCAACCTGTGGAAATACATGAGTCAGAGGATGGGATGACATCACAAGTACCACAGACATAGTCAAGAAGGCCTCCATTCGTGCAGTGGTGGAGTTCTAACACTCCTGTCACATATCACATATTCAAATCTCCCTATCGGAGACCGGGGTTCAATCCCTGTGTCCACCCTTCTTACCGTTTTTTCCCCACCTGCCTGTATCCCCTTCTGATTTCCATACTGTCTAAATAAAATAAAATACATATTTTAAGCCTCCATTCCTCTTTCTGAGCGACTTTCGAATGAATGAAATATCGCTATCTCAGAACCGAGAACCCAATTTCGCATGAGCACTAGTCAGCTCTCGATTTGGCATTCAGTCTGTCACGAGGGACCACAATGAAGTATCAATTTAGTGTAGTAAAAAAATAAAAAAACATAAATAAGGGATCATAGCTTTCACCTGGATTCACCTGGTCAGTCTATGTCATGGAGAGAGCACGTGTTCTTAATGTTTTATATACTCAGTGTATTGCCTGCCTTTCACCTACACATAGGAATCAGACAGATCAATTGTGGAATTATTTGTATTTTGGTTGTTATCAGTAAAACAATTCTCAGAGCAGACTCAACATTCCCGAATGCCATAAATGCCATAAATTGTCTGTATTTCACTTCAAACAATGAGGAGGAACCAGAAATATCAGTTTTAGGCTATTGGAATTCTTTGCAGTTTGGTTTTTACTTTTTTTATTACCTGCCCAATGGGGAAACCACAGAGCAGGCTCAACTTGCTCAACTGCTCAGTTCAATTGCTACAGGCAATACGGCAACCCTTAATGTCAATCCCTGTTACTAGCCAGAAGCATTACCGCTGGACCACAGGCTCTGCACACATTACATGTCTAAAGGTAATGTACTACTACTGTTTATCAGCAGTGGTAATCAGCTGAACCTTCTACACACTTTTCCTCAGACAATAAAATGTCTAAAATCAGTACTGTACATCTATGTGTCACTGGGCGTATATATGATGACATTTAGTTCTGACTGTTTATGATGAAATTTCAAGGACAGCTTATCCTCAGGTAACTTTGGAATGCTTCGACCAAATGCAAGAGAAAAGACATGACAAATCCATTGTCTGCTAAATAAAACCCTCTATTTTACAACTTTTTTTTGTTTTCCCCTTTCTAGTCTGCCGTTTTTATGGTTTCCCACATAACATCACACTTTCATGAAGTATTTTCTGTTTCTGATCGTTGGGCTAATCTAACAGGAGTTTAAGCCCAGATCCTGTGTAATAATGCTCCGGGGTGAAGTTTCCCCCAGGTACCTTAACCATTAGTAGGGAAAATGAAAAACTGACCCATGATCGGCGTACGGGTCAAATTCACCCTAGTCCTATAATAACAGACTGACACCGTGTGGCTCCTCCATTTTCATTGACCTCTGATCCCTACACATCAACCAATGAGCTCAGACTGACCTCCACACTGTCCGGAGACATGCCCCCATCGGCTGGGTTGTCTGCCGCCTCCTCCTCCTCAAATGTTGCACGCTTGTAGCTGGACATCTGCATGGGGAAGAAAGGAAGAAAGGAGAGTTAGCGCCAGTAATAATAGGAGAGAAATAAAAAAAATCAGTTGCGCTTTCACCAGAGGAGAGAGAGAGAGAGAGAGAGAGAGAGAGAGAGAGAGAGAGAAAAAGAGAGTAAGCAGTGCAGAGAAGTGACAGGACTTCACATAAGTACCATCTTGGAATGAAGGAATGTATTAGAGAAAACAACCAGGCCACCCATGAGAGAGAGGGAGAAGAATGGAAAAGGGAGAGACCCTGCGGTTTCTCACCTCTGCCATTCCGTCACACTGCATTACCCTCTCTTCACACACTAAGGTGTGTGTGTGTTTGTGTTTAGTGATGGAACACAGAAGGCAGGAGTATGTGTGTGTGTATGTCCTGATCTTGATGTGTTTGGTGAAACGTTCTGATGATAGTCATTTCTGCCCTTTCTAGAATGGTCATCTAGTGACTACTCGGTTCTTTGTAACATGGCCATCTTATGAGTGATTGGTCGGGGACCAAGTGGCGGAGCGGTCTAAGGCACTGTATCGTCACTACAGACCCGGGTTCGATCCCAGCCTTTATTACAACTGGCCTTGATCGGGACTCCCACATGGTGGTGCACAATTGGCCCAGCGTTGTCGGTGTTAGGGGAAGGTTTGGCCAGGGTAGGCCGTCATTGTAAATAAGGATTTATTCTTAACTGAATTGCCTAGTTAAATAAAGGTTAAATAAAAAGAGTGGCCGCTGAGCCAGAAACCCCCCACTCAGAACAGAGCAGCAGACTAAATACAGGAGCGCCAGGGGATGGATCCAAACCCCTGTGTTTAATTAACCTTCTCACGTTATAACATACCACACGCACAAGCACTGACACACACACAGTGCTTATTTAACAATGGATAACTACAGTAATGTTTGATTTACACTGCAAATCTAAATAACTTCCTCATTCACGGTTAGGTTGAAAATAAAAGTTAAGACAACGTAATAATTCCAAGCAGAAGTGTTCGAAATTAAACAAATTCATTGGACCAGCGCCGGAGCAAAAATGACTGGGAGTGAATGGTAGCCATCCAGAAAGTTCACTATCAAAGTGGGAAATAAACACAATTGTAGTGCATTTCAGCTAACTGCTCAGCAAACACATAGCATAACTGTTTTACTGTCATTCTATTCATTTAAATGCGTAGAATAATCAACTGCGCTGGTCCAATGAATGTGTTCATTTTTGAAAGCTCAGCACGGAATTATTACGTTGCCTTAACCTTCATTATTTTCAACCTAGACCCATGTGAAAGAGAATCAGTGCTTCTGCCTTCCCTCAAATTACATGAACTGTCTACTGTGAATCCAAACATAGTCCCATAGAAACACCAGCGTGCTCCACACCAAACCCCTTAACATACCACATACCTCAGCCAGTTAAAAGCACTCTCCTCATCACACAGACAACTCCATAACAGTCTCTGTATGACACTAAGTCTAAGAATGCCCTCATGCTGAACTGGCTTGTATGGAAGACGAGCTCAGGGATGACGTTCCAAACAATGAACTTCCCGACTCGTCTAAACAACATTCTCTCTAAAAGGTAAATGTTAGGTTCCATCTGTGACCTGTTCCAACTCTTTTAGATCCTACAGTGGGGAGGGTCGTAATGGGCCGTTGTCTCCATGAGACCATTACTCATCAACAAGGCTCGGAAAGGGCACACTGACATAAGCACAAAGTGTCCCTTCAGAAGGCAGTTTGGAAACACTTCCCTGTAATAACCATTCCAGCTGGCAGCATTTGGAACGTGATGTCTTTATGACAACACTTCCTGGTTGGAAACTGGTTTTCTGGTTGAAAATAAACCATATAAAACAACCAATTAGGTCTCTGTTACAACCAGCTTAAGACATCTGTTTCATTATGAGATCAAGATGGGAAAGAAAGGTTTTAGTTGTTATCAAGTCAGATAAACAGATTATACAACTAGTATCCAATCCAACAGATGACATCATAAAAAATGTCATCGTAACCGGTTTTGCCCGCTGGGATATTACACCCCATATCCTATTTTTTCTTTCTCTCCCTCTCACCTGTGTCAGTTTTTCTAGGATACATATCTCATTTTCCAAGAAGAGCTATTCCTGGGTATCTGATAATCTATGTCTGTTAGTTTCGCAGTGTAATCATACTGTACTGTCAGTACGGTTGTCTTCGTACTTTTCCTCCCTCTCCCTGCTCTCTCTTCTCACTCTCTGAGAGGGCTCATCTATCGCCTGCCTTCTCGAGCGCCTCCTCCCTCCGCGCGCTCTCTCTCCTCGCTCTCTCCTCTCTCTATCTACGAGTAAGAGGACTTCTCCCTTCGCTCTCTCTCTCTCTCGCTCCCTCTCTCTCTCTCTCTCTCTCTCTCTCCGCTCTCCTCGCTCTCTCTCTCTCTCTCTCTCTTCATCTCTCTTATCTCTCTCTCCTCTCTCTCTCTCTCAAAAACAACAAATCCCAAACCCTGTGTTATAACAAGACAAGACAAACTAAGGGGAGCACACTAGTTTAAAACAACAACAGTTCCTCACCAGCACCAGTCACACACACACTTGCTGTCTGTAGCTATTCTCACAACGGTCCCCACCTGATGATGTTCCTCCCTTACTCCCAGCCTGCCTCCCAGCAGACCCTTCTCACCAGGTTAATAAGTAATGCGACGGGAAGAGAAGTTAGAATCATAAAGCAGAAGGCTGTCAGGGAGGGCGGAGATTCATTGTATGATGCTGGTGTGGTGGGTGGCTGGAGAAAACCAATACATGAGTAACAAAGGGGGAACCGCAATACAGAGTGTATTAGTGGTGCGTAATTGATGATGTGTGTGTGTCTGTGTGTGTGTATGCGTGCATGTCTACATGTGAGTATGTGTGTGTGTGTGTGTATGCTGTAGATAAGATACAGAGACTGGGTTGTAGATAAGACTGGGTTAGTGGTCTTGTTGGAAACTGATGGATGAGGATAACGGCTCAGGCTACTAAAGAAACCAACTGTTTCCATAGTGACGATGATGGCCTATTGATAATGGTGTGTGTGTGTGCACCAAGGCAATGGCTACAATACAGAGGAGACAACAATGGCAGCCCATTAAAGCCAACTGCTATTGGCTATTGATTGACCTGATGTAAATGGAATGGTGTGGCACTGATGTTAGGAGCTTTGTGGATAGCCAACTGTAAAAATAAACACTGACAGAGAGACTAACACACATGCACAGTAGGTGACTGACATTTGCTCTGGCTCTCTCTTTCTCTATGACAACACCCACTTCCTCATAAGAGTACATCTGAATCAAGAAATGGTTCCTTGTAGATTACTTTTATGAAAATCCCCTGAGACACACACCTACACACACACATGCACGCAAAGTACAGTCGTGGTCAAAGGTTTTGAGAATGACACAAAAACTAGTCTGCTGCCTCAGTTTTGATGATGGCAATTTGCATATACTCCAGAATGTCATGAAGAGTGATCAGATGAATTGCAATTCCCTCTTTGCCATGAAAATGAACTTAATCCCCAAAAAACATTTCCACTGCATTTCAGCCCTGCCACAAAAGGACCAGCTGCCATCATGTCAGTGATTCTCTCGTTAACACAGGTGAGACTGTTGACGAGTACAAGGCTGGAGATTCACATTTACAGTCATTTAGCAGACCCTCTTATCCAGAGAGTTCATACATTTTCATACTGGCCCCCCGTGGGAATCGAACCCACAACCCTGGTGTTGCAAACGCCATGCTCTACCAACTGAGCTACACGGGAGATCACTCTGTCATGCTGATTGAGTTAGAATAACAGACTGGAAGCTTTAAAAGGAGGGTGGTGCTTGAAATCATAGTTCTTCCTCTGTTAACCATGGTTACCTGCAAGGAAACACATGTCGTCATCATTGCTTTGCACAAAAAGGGCTTCACAGGCAAGGATATTGCTGCTAGTAAGATTGCACCTAAATCAACCATTTATCAGATCATCAAGAACTTCAAGGAGAGAGGTTCAATTGTTGTGAAGAAGGCGTCAGGGTGCCCAAGAAAGTCCAGCAAGCGCCAGGACCGTCTCCTAATGTTGATTCAGCTGCAGGATCGGGGCACCACCAGTGCAGAACTTGCTCAGGAATGGCAGCAGGCAGGTGTGAGTGCATCTGCACGCACAGTGAGGCGAAGACTTTTGGAGGATGGCCTGGTGTCAAGAAGGGCAGCAAAGAAGCCACTTCTCTCCAGGAAAAACATCAGGGACAGACTGATATTCTGCAAAAGGTATAGGGATTGGACTGCTGAGGACTGGGGTAAAGTCATTTTCTCTGATGAATCCCCTTTCCAATTGTTTGGGGCATCTGGAAAACACCTTGTCCGGAGAAGACAAGGTGAGCGCTACCATCAGTCCTGTGTCATGCCAACAGTAAAGCATTCTGAGACCATTCATGTGTGGGGTTGCTTCTCAGCCAAGGGAGTGGGCTCACTCACAATTTTGCCTAAGAACACAGCCATGAATAAAGAATGGTACCAACACATCCTCCGAGAGCAACTTCTCCCAACCATCCAATAACATTTTGGTGACGACCAATGCCTTTTCCAGCATGATGGAGCACCTTGCCATAAGGCAAAGGTGATAACTAAGTGGCTCGGGGAACAAAACATCAACATTTTGGGTCCATGGCCAGGAAACTCCCCAGACCTTAATCCCATTGAGAACTTGTGGTCGATCCTCAAGAGGCGGGTGGACAAACAAAAACCCACAAATTCTGACAAACTCCAAGCATTGATTATGCAAGAATGGGCTGCCATCAGTCAGGATGTGGCCCAGAAGTTAATTGACAGCATGCCAGGACGATTGCAGAGGTCTTGAAAAAGAAGGGTCAACACGGCAAATATTGACTCTTTGCATAAACTGAATGTAATTGTCAATAAAAGCATTTGACACTTATGGAATGCTTGTAATTATACCATAGTAACATCTGATAAAAATATCTCATAACACTGAAGCAGC